CTCAACGGCTGGACGTGCGAGAAAACCTGATCTGGATCGAACCGTGAAATCGACTAAGATCGGGACCGGATCAGATCGCCAGAGAATCGGATGGGCATCGGATCCTCGCGGCCAGCTCCGACCGGCCCTGGCTGACGCTGGCGAATTGACCCGACTCGAACGGATCGAATCGTCGTTGCTAGCCCGGCCTCAGGAACAAACGAAGAATCATGCCACTTTCATCCGTCAACGCCTCCCCCTCCCCCCGATGCGCAGAGTTGGCGGTGGGCCTGATGTGTTGAACTTCCCCCGCAGTCTCCCCCGCGGGTGCCAACTTTCAATTTTGGAGAAAGGGGGCGTGTTCGGCACAGTGGAGGCCAATCCACAAGAAACCTTCCACAAGAAACCCAACCCTGGGACCCCAGGACGATCGTCACGACTTCCACAGCCAAACCGTCGACACCCAAGAAATCCAGGGCACACTGGAGGCACCCAGGGTGTTTCTTGGCAAGGGCCTCCACTGTCTTGTTTCCCTCTGCCGTTGCAACCCCGCCCGCCCGTCCCTCCCGCCAGCTCGCCTGCAGCAGGTGGGGCGACAGCATCTGCGTGGCCTCTTCGCGGCGGGCAAAGCACAAGGCCGGACGTGGGCGGCGGGGCTACACGGCGCGGCGGCTAGACGGGGAGGGGGGGGGGGGGCAGGCGTCCTCCCTCTTCTCCTTCTCCTGCACTGCCTGCTTCTGCTCATCCTCCTGCTCCTCCTGCTCCTCCTGCTCCTCCTCCTCCTTCTCCTCCTCCTCCTCCTCCTCCTCTCTACCCCTATCCCTGCTCCCATGCCTTCGCCCCCTTCTCCCTCCTCCCTCCTCGTCCTTCTCCCCCCCTCAAGCCCCCCACTCCCTCACCCTCCTCTTCCCCCTCATCCTTGCTTGTCCTTCTTCCTCCGCCTAACACCTTCTTCCTCCACTCTCCTCCATCCGCCCCCTCTCTTCTCTCACTCATCGCCAACCCCTGGTTGTTTCGCCAGCCCGAGTGTGACAGCATGGTCGGGCCGACCTCCTCCTCCTCCTCCTGTTCCTCCTCCTCCCAATGCTCCTCCTCCCCCTCTTCAGCATCGTCATCGTCATCTTCATTTTCATCTTCATCGTCATCGTCATCATCATCATCATCATCATCATCATCATCATCATCATCATCAGCATCATCATCATCATCAGCATCATCATCAACATTACCATCATGTTCATCATCATCATCACCATCACCATCACCATCATCGTCATCATCATCAGCATCACCATCATTATCATCGCAATCGTCACCGCAATTACCATCATCACCATCATCATCATCATCATCATCATCATCATCATCATCATCATCATCACCATCATCATCATCATCACCAGCAACATCAACACCGTCGTCGCCATCATCGTCGTCATTATCATCACCATCACCATCAACATCAACATCAACATCAGCATGATCATCAGCATCATCATCGGCATCATCATCACCATCATCACCATCATAAACAACATAAGCATCATCACCACCACTGTCATCATCGTCATCATCATCAGCATCACCATGACCATCACTACAACCAGTATCATTACCATCGGCATCAGCATCATCACCAGCAGCATCATCATCAGCATCATCATCACACCCATCAACACCTTGATTGCCATCAGCAACACCACCACCGCCATCATCATCAGCACTGCCAGTCACCACCACCACCATCATCATCAGCATCAGCATCATCATCATCATCATCATCAGCACCAACATCGTCACCACCATCAACATCGTCGTCGTCATCATCACCATCCTTACCAACATCACCATCCTCATCACCTCCATCATCAGCATCATCATCATCATCAGCATCTGCATCAGCATCATCATCATCATCACCATCACCATCACCATCATCATCATCATCATCATCATCATCATCATCATCATCATCATCATCATAAGCATCATCAGCATCCGCACGCTCTTAGTCATCATCATTACCATCCTCAACGTCATCATCATCATCATCAGCATTCTCACCCTCATCATCAACAATATCAACAATATCATCAATATCATCGTCATCGTCATCATCAGCATTAACATTATCGTCCGCGGACGCAACAGCAGCAGCAGCAGCAACACTATTCTAACCATGCGCAACGTCAGCAGCAACACCATTGTCCTTATCATCATGATGGTCTGCATCCACACAAACATCAGCATCAGCATCAGCATCAGCGTAGCCATCATCATCACAACAATCAGAAGCAGCGCCTTAACCATGAACACCATCAACATCGTCATAATCTACATCGTCGTCGTCATCACATCACCACCGATATCTTGCTCGCCATCATCAGCCTACGTCATCGCCAACGTCATCGCCATCATTACCATCACCATCACCACGACCATACCAGTAACAATTTCCATCATCATCATCAACGTCAGCATCATCAGACTCGTCATCCCCGCGGCATCGTGATTACCCCGCCTGCCCGAGCTTCCCTAATCGTTCCTCGTTGCTGTTTCCCTCCCCTTCTTCCGTCTGCGTTTACCCGAGCCCGTGAAGAAAGACTGTGGCTCACTTCTAGCATGACCGCTGCAAGCTAAAAACAGTCGTCCTGGTCACTCTCCCTCCTCCCTTCCCCCCCTCCCTGCTCCGACCTCCGCATCTTTTGAGTAGCTATTATAAATTACCCCCTACCATTTGGGAGGCGACCCAAGCGAGGAGGCGCAAAGCATCAGGGATGGGGGCTTCCGTGCTGATGTATCGAACAAAGACGCCTACAACGATTGTCCCGAATGCGAAGACGGGGACCTCAGCGAGGCCACGTCTCCACTATGCTATCAGGGCTAGGGTATTTTGTGTTAACTAGCATCGATGATCTCTCCTCCCGCATCTGGCCCCGATGATTAAAAATCGAGGAGAACTATCGGTGTTTTAACTCTGAAGATAATGATCCTCGATTATCTCTCCTCCCCTCGATGTTTTAACTATCCTGGATGATCTCTCCTCTCCCCCCCCCTTCCCTGCCCGCTGGGTCGTGGGCGCCGCGCGGCGCAGGCCCCCGGCCGCGCAGAAAGCACGGGAAAACGAAGAGATACAAGGGCTCGAGAACAGGCTGGGCAGCAGCTCGACCGTTACCCCCAGTTGATGGGCACTCACAGCGAGACTGAGTACGATATACACATCAAAGTACATACATGCATACATAGATACATACATACGTATGTACATACATACATACTTACACATACATACATACATACATCCATACATCCATTCAACCATACATGCATACATGCCTACCTAACATAACATAACAACACATGACATACCATACCATAACATACCATACCATAACATAACATACCATACCATAACATACTATAACATGCATGCATGCATGCATACACACATACATCCATACATTCATACATGCGATAGCATGCATGCATATATATATACACAGGTATATAATTGTATGTCTATGTAGAGAGAGATAGAGAGAGAACGGGATCAATCGAACACACATACGGTCTCAGAGAGGGACGGAATGAGAGAAGAGCGAGGGAGAGAGAGGCCCCGATGGCACTGCCGAGCGCCTTCTGCGCCGTCTTGAGCGCGTGCTCTTGGATCATCTTTTTGAAGAACGCCAGCTCCTCGTCGCCGTGGGCGTTCGGGCAGATGGCCTGCCTGCGGCAGTCGCCTCCCCTCGCCCTTCCCTGCCAGCACATCGGCCAGCGCTGCCCGCGCAAGAAATACGGGCGGAAAGGCGGAGGACATACGGACCATCATTAGCTATGAGAAGGCTAAGGTTCGGCCGACCCGACCACTAACCAAAACCTTGGTTGACATCCGATCATCAAGTTACGCTCTCTTCGGCCCGCCTCTGCGCCACTTCCTTGAGGATCTGAGCAGCAAGGATCGGCTGGGACAATCGGGGGGCGGCCTTCATACTGCATTGGGGGTGTCGGCCGCCCTCGGCCGCCCGACGAAAGGGCCAACGCATTCTAGGAAAACTTGCCTTGGAAGCTTTCCTTGCATTCGCCTCGAAGACCCCTCAGGTTACTCTTTGGGTAGTGGCCGCATCCCATGCACACCACGATGCAGGACTCAACATCGTGATACTCGCACCCAAGTAGGACGTTTTTCTTGGGGGATCTAGTTCGGATAGATGGACAACGTACTTGCCAGGGCATGCCTCGAGCACGCGGGACTTACGCGTGCTATGGGTCCTGGCTCTCGCGTGGCAGGCCCAGCATAACCAGTGCAGTTTTAACCGAACCAACTGGTGTTTGGCCCCTCCCTGTGGGTTACCGCGCGCACGAGCACACCGAGGCTGACCCACAGGTTTGGGAGGGGGTGCTGTCCAGACTTGGGCCGCTCCAACAGCCCCGGCAGGGGGCTCGTGGCTCCTAGAGGGTTTCTCGTAGGCCTTCTTGCCCGCGTGGCGGGCTAGGTGAGACCAAGCGGCGGGAGCCGCTGCTGCAAATCTGACCAGACTCTGGACTCGGCCAATGGCTGCGTCATATAAGTCAAGTTCCTGCTGGGACGGGGCTGGGATACGGCCGCAGCTTGCTCGGTGACCTGGCCCGCCCAATCGTACCCTTTGGCTACAAACTAATCTGCCGAGCCAGCCTCGAGGACCTCTCGGTCGTGGCTTTGACTTTTGGAGTTCTGAAGGGCCCACAAACATTTTTGGGGGTACGCTTCCCTCTGGGCCTGTTGGACCGAACACAACTTTGAAATCCGCACACGTTTGGCGACCTTGTGAAACGAGATTGCTGCGAGAAGCCCGAAGTCCTCGGCAGCGGGCGACGCGGACAGCAGGCTGGCGGCGGGTTGTGGTGGTCTGTGGCGGTGGTCGTACTGGATGTGGTGGGTTGTGGTGGTTTGTGGCGGTGGTGGTGGTGATGGTGCTGGTGGCTTGAGATGGCGATGGTGGTCGTAGTGGATGTGGTGGGTTGTGGTGGTTAATGGTGGTGGTGGCGTATTGGGCGGTGGTGGTGGTGCTGTGGTGGTTTGTGGTGGTGGTGGGGGGTTGTGCTGGTGATTGTGGTGGTGGTGGCCGTGGTGGTGGTGGTGGTGGCGGTGTGGTGGTTTGTAGTGGTGGTGGTGGTGGTGTGGTGGTGGTGGTGGTGGCGGTGGTGGTGGTGGTTGTGGTGTGGTGGTTTGTGGTGGTGGTGTTGGCGGTGATAGTGGTGGGATGTGGAGGTGGTGCTGGTGGCGGTGGTGTGGTGGTTTGTGGTGGTGGTAGGTTATTCTGGTGGCGAGGTGGTGGTTGCGGTGGTGGTGTGGTTGATTGTGGTGGTGGTGGTGGTGGTAATGGTGGTGGGTTGTTGCGGGTGTGGTGGCGGTGGTGGGTTGTTGTGGTGGTGGTGGTGGGTGTTGTGGTGGTGGGTGGTGAATTGTGGTGGTGGTGGTTTGTAGTGGTGGCGGTGGAGGCGTAAGCGTGCTGGTTTGCGGTTGTGGTGGTGGTGGTCGGCTCTGATGTTTGTGGTGTTGGTGTTGGTGGTGGTGGTGGTGGTGGTTGGTGGTGGTCGTGGTGGTGGTGGTGGTGTGGTGGTTTGTGGTGGTAGTGACGGTGGGTTGTGGTGGTGGTGGCGGTGTGGTGATGGTGGCGGTAGTGGTATAACGGTTTGTGTTTGTGGCGGTCGTGGTGGTTGTGGTGTGTTGTGGTGGGTTGTGGTGGTGGTGGTGGTGTGGCGTTCTTGTGCGGTGTAGTGGTTTTGGTGATGGTGATGGTTGTGGTGGTGGTGGGTTGTGCTTGTTGTGGTGGGTGGCGGTGGTGGTGGTGGCGTGGTGGTGGTGGTGGTGGCGGTGTGGTGGTTTGTAGTGGTGGTGGTGGTGGTGTGGTGGTGGTGGTGGTGGCGGTGGTGGTGGTGGTTGTGGTGTGGTGGTTTGTGGTGGTGGTGTTGGCGGTGATAGTGGTGGGATGTGGAGGTGGTGCTGGTGGCGGTGGTGTGGTGGTTTGTGGTGGTGGTAGGTTATTCTGGTGGCGAGGTGGTGGTTGTGGTGGTGGTGTGGTTGATTGTGGTGGTGGTGGTGGTGGTAATGGTGGTGGGTTGTTGCGGGTGTGGTGGCGGTGGTGGGTTGTTGTGGTGGTGGTGGTGGGTGTTGTGGTGGTGGGTGGTGAATTGTGGTGGTGGTGGTTTGTAGTGGTGGCGGTGGAGGCGTAAGCGTGCTGGTTTGCGGTTGTGGTGGTGGTGGTCGGCTCTGATGTTTGTGGTGTTGGTGTTGGTGGTGGTGGTGGTGGTGGTTGGTGGTGGTCGTGGTGGTGGTGGTGGTGTGGTGGTTTGTGGTGGTAGTGACGGTGGGTTGTGGTGGTGGTGGCGGTGGTGGTGATGGTGGCGGTAGTGGTGTGGCGGTTTGTGTTTGTGGCGGTCGTGGTGGTTGTGGTGTGTTGTGGTGGGTTGTGGTGGTGGTGGTGGTGGTGGCGTTCTTGGTGGCGGTGTAGTGGTTTATGGTGATGGTGATGGTTGTGGTGGTGGTGGGTTGTGCTTGTTGTGGTGGTGGTGGCGGTGGTGGTGGTGGCGTGGTGGTTTGTATTGGTGGTGGTGGTGGTGAAGCCTTCGGGTCTTCCCGCCACCGTGTTTTGGCTCTGGTCAGGTGGTGGTGGTGGTGGCGGTGGGCTGTGGTGGTGTGGTTGTGGCGGTGGGGGTGTCGTGGTGGTTGGTGGTGGTGGTTGTTGTGGTGTATATGGCGATTTGTGTTTCCCCTCCCTGGGCCCTCTCTGGTCATCGTCGCTGCGTTCCCGCCGTCGGCGCTGCTGGCCTTGCCAACGCCGGCGCCGGCGCCGAGGGGGGGCCCCCCTGGGCCCTCTCTGGTCATCGTCGCTGCGTCTGCCGTCGGCGCTGCTGCCGGCGCTGGCGCTGGGGGTGGGGGGGGCGGGGAGGGTTTGGGGAGGGGGAGGGTTAGGGGGAGGGGGGCCCCCCTGGTTTTGGTCGACGGCGCCGAATGTTGGGGGGCCCCGTTCGAAACGCGCCGCCGAATGTTCCTGAGGCAAGCGCACGTGAAACGCGCTCTATCCGATGAATGGAAAACGCTGTCCTGCAGAGTTTGGGGAGTCTAGGGGCCCAGGATTCTATGGGGGAGCGCTGAATGCATCTGGACATCGAAGGTCGCGAACGCACAGACCGCAGAAAGCCCTTCGGTGGCGCCGGATCTCAGTGGCAACCGCTCGGGCCCACCCATGCTGGCTCATCGTGGGGCGCGCGACTGTCTCCGAGAAGCCCGCGGAAATAGCCCGAGCCTTCCACGTCACGCGATTGGCATTCTCGTAATCCCACCAGCCCTTTGGGCGTGAGTGGTTTAGGGAGCTCTCTCTGTTCTCAACCCCCCTTCTTCCCCTTCGAGGAGGGGTTTACCCCTCCCCCTACCCCCTCCCCCTGGACCTGGAGAGGTCCTTCCGCGGGTGGTCAGAGGGGTCTTTTTCGACTCCTGGGAGGGCTAAAAAACGACACCCCTCACGAGGATTCTGGCCCCGACGGGGGGAGGGAGAAAAAATGCTCCCCTCTTCTTTGAAGCCAAAATCATTGATTTTACTAAGGTTTTGGCCCCATTTTGGCCTTCTGAGGGGGCAGCGCTAATTAAAGCTCCCCTCTTCTTTCAAGCCAACATCATTGATTTTACTAAGGTTTTGGCCCCATTTTGGCCTTCTGAGGGGGCAGCGCTAATAAAGCTCCCCTCTTCTTTGATCGATTTCCTCCAAGATGGCCCCAAGAAGCGCCCAGGAGGCACCAAGAGGCCCCAAGATGGCCCCAAGAGGCCCCCAGGAGGCCCCCAAGAGGATCCCAAACGGCCCAAAGAGGCCCCCCCGAGGCACCCAAGACGCCGAAAAGCCCATCAGGACGACCCTCTACTCGCCTGGGCGTCGTTTCTGGACGGGCAGGAGGAGGGGCCCGAACGACTCACACCAGGACGAGGGGCCCGAACAACTCACACCACGAGAAGCCCGAACGACTCACACCAGGACGAAGAGCCCGAACGACTCACACCACGAAGAGCCCGAACGACTCACACCAGGAAGAAGGGCCCGAACGACTCACACCAGGACGAGAAACCCGAAACGACTCAAACCACGAGGAGCGCTTTCTCTCCCTCCTCCTCCGCCTCGTCCTTCTCCCGCTCCCACCACAAGGAGGATGTACAAGGAGGCGGGAGGAAGGAGGAACAGGGGAGATATGCGGGGGCAGGCGGAAACACGCCTGAAAAACACGGCTGTCGGCATGCTTCGCTCGAGTTGCTGTTTTGAGATGGGCTGGTGGGGATACGCGAAGCGTGAAGAATAGTTAAAGAGATCCCACTGAGACCCATCAGCATGGACATCCTGCTCTCCGTAGCCGGCTACTTCGGCCCGAACAAGCCCTAACACTCCTCGACCAGACTGATGTGCTCAGCAGAAAGTCTTGTAAGTCTTCTCCCGCCTACGAGCCTCCTCCTGGCGGATTTTGGCCCGCGCCCTCCAAGCGGGCGGCAGTAAACCAATGCCTCGGCACCTTGGGTCCCCAGGCTGGTCGGCCCAACGATTCTCGACTAGAGTCGCAACGATGCTTTGCGCAGCTGTCGGGACAACGCCCACTTCCTCGATCGCAGCCGAAAGTTTGCAAACCTGCTCGAGCCCCCGGCGGCTAAGAACAGCACTGTGGGATGAAATCCGCCCCAGGTCTGAAAAAAGATTCGGGAATCGTTCGTCTGCTGACCGGATCTGCCTTGGCGCCGTGGGCCCCAGATGGTTCCGCTCAGCCGACGGCAAGACGAAATCGTGCTCCTGCAGCGCGACGTGCCACCGACCAGCAAGGCGGGTGGCCCCCAACTAGAGTAACCCGAAAAGCCCGCCAGAAATGCGTCGCAGGGCAGGCCTCCAGGCCTTCCGGGGTTACCAGGCGGTGAATTTTGAAGCCAGCCTGCGAGCCCAACCGACCCCGCGGGACATGGTCTCGTGGACCCAGTTTTTCCAGGACGTACTTTCATTTTTGCGGTCCCTGGTCCCCTCTGCCTGCAGCGCGCGATCTACTGATTCGCCAAGCTCGCCTCCCCATGTGAACCCTCCGAGTCAAGTCCACCAATGTGATTCTTCAACCACGAAATGGGAAACGATCGACTTTTTCACTTGGTCCTGAACTCCACATCCCTTGCTTCTCCGGGCGCCCATCTGATCTTGGGCAGTCCGGCGAACGGTGCGGTCGGCGACGTGGTCGGCGCGCACTGGCGAATGCTGACGGATCACGCCATGTCGCCTGCGACGAACCTGCGGGCCGACTCCGGAGCCGCGACAGGGGGCTCGAAACTTGGTCCAGGATGTCCAAGGCGGGCTCCGAACGGGCCCAGGGGGACACGTACTTTTCTTCGTTGGCCCGCAAGGCCTGGTGGTAGAGAAATATTGGGGCTCATCCAGGACAGGCGCCATGGAGGGCCCCCCGCGGCGAAACTGGAAGACGATGGGCCTGCGGGGGCTCAGCGAACACTCATCGAGGACCTCTGCCCCCCGAGAGGCCCTGGTCGAAGCGCGACAAGATGACGTATTTGTCGATGATGGGCGGTGCGGTCCGCCGCCATATCGCGCGAAGCAACTCAAACTCTAGAAGTGCACCAAACAGCTCTAAGCCCAATCCTGCAAACATCTCAAGCTTCCAAAGAACTTCGAAGCATCTCTCAGCCCGAACCTGCGAAAATCAGCCCCCGAGAAAAAAAACAACTTGTTTACAACATATAGAACAGACAACTCTGAGAAAACTAAAACTCGCATCGCCTGAAATCCTTTAAAAATTGCGAAGACAATCTGAACAACTCTTTTACGCAATAACTATTGAACAACCTTTTAAAGCTAAGCGCACACCACGGCGGCATCGGAAACTTGAAAAACAACTTGGAACAATGACTACAACAATCCGGCCGTTTTGGCAAACTTTTCAAGCGAGCAAGTGTTGTTCAATTACCGTGCTTTGTTTTCTGAAGCTTCCTTGACAGGTTTTTGGGGCGCTTCAGAATGTCTCAAGTATTGGCGTGGAGGTTTGTTTATGTTTTTGTCTGGGGTTAGAGTTTTTGCCCCGGTTTTTGTATAATTGTTATTTTTGGGGGGTCAGTTCCTCTTGAAGACTCCCCGGAAAGATTTTGGCAGGCTCTCGGTGGACCTCCTGACTGTAGAGCAACTGCCGAACCTAACGGCATAAGCTCGAGCAGCTTGTTAAGCGGGACGTTGGAATCCCCTGCAATAGTGAGCGGCTGTCAAACGGCATCTCGGACCATTGCCGCCCCAGCCATGAGCTCTAGATTGCGCGCGTCGAGGCCCGCCCCGTCGGCCAAACAAATGCAGGCGAGCGCCCGGGGGCGGCGCCAGAGGCGCTGCGGCGCGACTGCAAGCGCCAGCAGCCGCGAAACCCAAACATCATCCGCGAATCAAAACCACAATACCTGCACCAGGCAGCCCTCGTCTTTGAGCGCGGCAGGAGAAAGACTTGCCGGCCGGCCCCCCCGTTCGCGCAATTGGGCGACGCAGGGGGGCACCGCCTTTAAAACCTCGCACTTCTTGGCCGCGCATGCTGTCCACCGCCGCGGCTGCCTTCGACTTCGCAGATTCCCTGATCAATCTCCAGCAGCTCCCGCTGACAGCGCCGAACCTGGCCACGATGCCCGCGCGGCCCGCCCTCCGCCCTGCCCTTGCCCTTCTGGCCCAAGCTGGGAAGACAGCTGCCCGATGGCCTCCTGCAGGGTGGGCGACGGGGCCAGTCCTGGCGGAAACGGACTCTCGATGTGCGACCCCAGCGACGGGCGGCTGTCTTCGCGCGCCCCTTGGGACCCTGCTCCGTCGCATCTGGTTCTGGACTTCAAGCTGCTAAGTGTCCGAGGCAGTCAGACTGGGTGCGAGACGAGCTCGCGCTGCTTGTCATGCCCAATGGCCTACTTGGCCACCGCTTGGACTGTCGTCTCAATCTGCCAGGTCGCGGGCCAGCCTCTGTTTGCAAACCTCGGGCTGGTCGCGCAGAAGATTGCGCTGCTGTTCCCAGAGCTTAGCTGCGAGTGGGGATGAGCTGGCTGGCCTCAGTTATCCCGCGGCGCGCCTGCGCAGCCGCCGGGGGGCGGCGCCGCCCCCCCAGTCGCGCGCGCGCGGCCTCGGGGTCGCGGCGCCAGCAGAGCCCGACCGAGGACCGAGGCGCGGCTCGTCGAACTACGCCCACCCCATAGTGCTTGAAGCCCTGGCGTCGGCGGCGCATATACATGCGCTGAAGGGGCAGGCCTCCGCTGCGACATTCGGCCCTGCTGCCCGCGAAGTTTGGGCCCTGGGCGGGCGGGCGCCTGGCTCGCGCTCGAAAAAACGAAGGCGGGCCCATCGAGGCCGCGCGGGCACCACCGCGGGCGCCCCGCTGAGAGACGGGGTCGCCGCCGCGACCTCCCCCGCGCCGAAACGGCTTAAGCCGCGTGGGGCGCGCGGAAGGAGGATGGGGGGCCAGGGCGAGCCCTCCGCCCCTTCCGCCCGCCCCTCCTCGGCGCGCGCGCGCGGCTGCTCGGCGCGACGCGCGGGCGCGCGACGGCCCGCTTGGAGAGGCAGGGGCGGCGAAGCCGGCGGGGGCACCAGGTTGCCCCAAGAGGAGCAGCCCATGCGGCCCCGACGTCCAATCTGGACCAGAAACGCGCGGGGGCGACGGCGCGCATGCCGGTCGGCGCGGGCCCCCAGCAGCAAGCCCGCGCACCCTGGGCGCATCGTCTGCGAAGAGCAATCCACGAGGAGGGCCCGACGTGGCGCAGTGGATGCGGCGCCAAAAACGTTGCGCTGAACTGCGGTAGCTGCGGCGCACTTCGCCGGCCTGGACATCGCGCGACACCTCTCGAGGTCGCCGCCAACTCCACTGCTCAAACGAGAATCCCGCCCGCCCGCGATCTGCTAGAAAACTCCATGGACGCAATCGCGCGAGAACCTTTCTCGCATTGGTCCGCGACTCGGTCGGGCGAGCAATGCAGAAACTAATGGTCGCACACGTGGTGAAGACGTTGGTGCTGATTTGGATGGCGGAGATGATGGTGGCGCTGATGGTGGTGGCGATGATGGTGGTGATGGCGATGGTGATGGTGATGCTGCGGATGGTGGTTGCGACGATGGCGGCGACGCCGCTGCTGATGATACTGATGCAGTTGGCGACGATTGTTTGTAGCAGTGGCACAGCGCAGCCGCCGCCGCGGTGCAGCGCAGCCACCGCCGCCAGGCCGGCGACCAGCTCCCGACGCCGCAAGTGGCGGCCTCAAGTGCTCGATGTCATTCAGCTCGAAGACATCGTGCGCGAAGCCCTTGCAAGTCCGCTCACCGTCGCACCGGCCGCGCTTGGCCTCTTGATCGCCAGCGTCTTGGCCGCGTTGTGGGCCTGCGCCCGCGCTGAGCTGCCAGGCTGCAGCCGCTTCCTGATCCGCGCAAAATTCTCGACCCCCGACTGATTGAGGATGCCCCTGCGTAATATGGCGAATTCCTTCATCACTCCCCTCGCGATGCAACCGTAAGCAGTGCAGTGGTGGATCTGCGGGGTCGCGTCGTACTCTGCTAGGTCGTCTCATGCGCCTTCTGCAGGCCCGCCTGGACATCCTGGCTCGGATTCGCACCGGAAGGCGACGCCTCCTTGGCCACCACCTCCGCGCGTGGCTCTCTCAACCAGCTCCGCGTGGCTCTGTGTTCCGGCACCCTCGTTTCGCACTGCTCGCAATTGGAAAACTTCGCGCTCGTACCCCCTATGATGATGTGCTTGGTGTCCGCAAGCTGCTTGCGCTTCTCGAGCTTCGTCATCCTCTTCTTGCGTTCTTGGGCAGTGGGCTGCTGGGACGGTTCCGATTTCATCGCCGCCTTGAACGCCGCGTGGGCCTTCTTGCGGATATGCGCCGCAATCTCCCCCGCGTACCTGGTCCTCCGCACCTCGTTCAGGGCGACACGAAACTTCTCTGCGATGCCCTGCTCGAGCTTGTCGGCGAAGCGATTGCCCACTTAGTCTCCCATGCACACTCCCGCCTCGATAGCATCCCTTGCCGGCACGCTCTCAATCTTCGCGACCACCATCTCGTTCAGTTTGGCCGCTTCGCGGTACCGCTTACAGAAGTCTTTGCGCGTCTTCGGCACCTTTCCTTTGCGACTCCGATCCGCTCCTCGGGCGACGTAGCTGCAGTCCGCGATGTTCCAACCCCACACGATTCATCTCGTCTTCGGGTCATCGGTGTTCTCGTCCTCTGACGCATCGCCTGCCGTGACAACCCACTCGTTGACGACCATGCGGGCCTCTCCGACCACTTCACGCAGCTCTTCTCCTGGCTCAGGTGGTGCCGCGACCTATGTCCAGCTCGTGGACAAAATGCCTCTGAGCCACAGGCGCGGCTGGATCTCGATCCCCTCGTCGGCGTTCTCCTCCAAACGCTGGGACTTCTCGCAATCGGTGCACCTGCATTTCCACATGCGATGCTCCAGGCCTCTGATGATTCCGATGATGATGATGATGATGATGATGATGATGATGATGATGATGATGATGATGATGATGGTGGTGATGGTGGTTATGATGATGCTGATGCTGATGCTGATGCTGATGCTGATGATGATGATGATGATGATGATGATGATGATGATGATGAGGGGAGTGATGATGATGATGATGATGATGATGATGATGATGATGATGGTGATGACGATGATGATGATGGTAATGATGATGCTGATGGTGATGGTGATGATGCTGATGGAACCGATGACGGGAGCGACGACTACGACGTTGACGATGCCGAAGATGATGCTGACGACGACGGTGGGGAAGGTGACGGCCACGGGGCGCAAGCCTCATGGCATGGGGTGCAACATCCGGGCGGCGGCGAGGCGTAGGCGAGAGCCCACCAGTCGACGTCCCGAGAAACCCGACAGACCCACGCTGCTGCGACAAGGCTGCGGCGGGCGCCCCCCTTGCCCAGAGCCCAGCAAACCCAGACAGCCCCTGAGCCGGCGATGCCGCGACGGGCGCCCCTCGGGGAAGAAACCAGGAAACCCAGCGGGCGCGCGGGACGGCGCCCGCAAGCTTTAGGTCGGGCATGTCCTTCTACAGGCGCAGCTTGGAACAAAAATAAAAAATAGCCTGAAATATTCCAAGATAATCAAAAGAGCACGAAACATCGTCCCCAGATGTTTTTTATTGACTATCCTTGGATATTCCTCCTGTAGAGGGACACGCCCGCCTCAAACGCAAGCCGAAGCTGACTGACGCGCGAGGCGGCGGCGGGCGAGCCCTGGCCGCAGCCGTTGCAAAACCGGCTTCACAACGGCAGCCTCCGCGCCTGCTCCGCGGGTCCTCCTCTTCCTCCTCCTCCTCCTCGTCCTCCTCCTCCTCCTCCTCCCTCCTCTTCCTCCTTCTCCTCCTCCTTCCCTCCTCCTCCTCCTCCCTCCTCTTCCTCCTCTTCCTCCTGTTCCTCCTCCTCCTCCTTCTCCTCCTCCTCCTCCTCCCTCATCCCTCCTCCTCCTCCTCCTCCTCCTCCTCCTCCTCCTCCTCCTCCTCCTCCTCCTTGTGCTGTGCACACGGCTCCAAGATCGCTCAGAACGGGCCCACGACGTGCACCTGCACGTGCTGCACCGGCGCCCCCCAGAAAGCGTGGCCCCAGCACTCAACAGGATGGCCCCAAGCGGCCCAGGAATGCACACAATGGCCTCACAAGGCGACACGAGGGCCCAACAGAGGCCCCAGGAAAGCTTTAGGCTTGGCGCGCTCATTTCTCTCACCCACGGTGCAGAAGGCCTCCCAGAACGGGTCCGAGTAGAGGGGTTCGGAGGATCGCCAAGTATCGGCGATGCATCGCTGATGGAGCGGCGATTTCGGCGATGCTTCGGCGACGTTCGCATGGAGAGTCGGGCTCCACACCCAGCCGCACCGCGGATGCATCGACGAGGCATCGCCGACGCGGCGTGATCCTCCGACCCCAGGTGCTTCAACCCCATCTGCGAGGCCTCGACGGTAGGTCTCTCCACTCGGGTCGTCCGAAAGGGGGGAGTAGGAAAGGGTGGGGTGGCAAATCGGCTCACGCAGCTGATTTCCCCGGCGCCTCCCGGCGCCGGGGGCGCATCGAGGAATGGGCCCCGCGGCGGCACCAGCTGCGTGCAGCAGACTTCGTAAACCCCCCCTTTCCCCCCTCTAGGAGGCCTAGACTCGGCGGCGAGCCCGGGGGGGAAGTGAGAAGGGGCGGGCCTTCTCAGAAGGCTCGGAAGTCCCCTGGCCTTCTGAGAAGTGTTCTAAACTTTCCCGGGAGACACGAACAAAAACCCCTCAGAAGGCCTGAGGGCTTGCGAGAAGTCCCGCCGCCGTCTGAGAAGGCTTTCCTTCTCCTTCTCGCTTCCCCCCTCGCTTGCCGCCGATCGACGGCAGGTCCCTCTCTCTCTCCCCCCCCCTGGGGAAACCAAAAAGGTGCCGATGCCGCTACTCCCCAGACCTCTCCCGAAGTGCGTCCTGACCAGAAGTTCGGGGCGCATCCTACTGTGGCGACGAGCGCCTCCCGGGAGACACCCCCAGAAAGAGGGGACAGACGAGGGAAGGGCAGCGGCATGGGCCAGCATGGGTACACCGCTGCCTCCTCTCGGCGGCGGACAAACCTCCCTGTAGCAAACCTCCCCTTAGTGAAAGCGGCCTAGGACCGAAACCGACGGCCCTGGACCCGCAAAAATGATGGCCGCGACGCCCTCTCGCGAACCGAGAGCGGCCAGTCCCTGGATCGACGCGTCCAGGCAGGAGGTCTAACTATCGGCCTCCGATCCTCCTGACCCCCCCCCCGCCCCCACCCTTCTTCCAGTTGGAGCACATGGAGCACTTGAAGCCCGGGGGCAGCTCGTGGGGGCCGTGCGCGTAGATGCAGATCTCGCCGCGGGGGCAGCGGCCCTGCCCGTAGGACGGGCAGAGCTTGGGCTTCAGGCCTCCGCGGGGGCGGCGGCGGCGAGCGCGGAGGGCGTGGGCCTCCGCTCGGGCGTCCAGTGGGGGAGCGTTGTCCTTCTTCGGCGCTTCGGCATTGGGCGGAAAAGGTGGGGGGGGGGAGGAGGAGGGGGAGGAGGAGGGGGAGGCGGAGGAGGAGGAGGAGGAGGAGGAGGAGGAGGTGGAGGAGGAGGAGGAGGAGGAGGAGGAGGAGGAGGAGGAGGGGGGAGGGGGGTCTGGCTCCGGACCTCTGCTCAATGCGCATGCTCGCAGCAGTGCGTCCTGCAGTGGCGGCCCCACCTGCCTCAAGCGGGCGCCGAAGACAGCCAAGATCTACTCCATGGGGTGGTGGCGGGAGGGGAGGGGGGGGCGAGGGCCCGCGCCCATCGGCAAAGCAATGCATGAGACAACGACAACACTCCCCGTGCATGTGTCGGTGTCCTGCATGTTCTGCTTGCACGATGATCCACGATGCTCCTCGCGATGGGCCTCGCCTCCCCTCAAGCATGCACACGCCCGAGCGATGCCGAGAGAGGGCTGGAGGAAGACGAAGACGACCCAGACATCCGACGTCGTGATCGTTTCGCAGCGAGGCCCCTTCGGAGGTATAGCCTGTAAGGCGGAGCCACGGCGAGGACGGCATCGAGTGAGGACACATCGAGCATCCCCGAGGCCCGGCGGTTCTGGAGCCTGTGTCGGGCGCCCGGACCTTCTCAGGGCGATCCAGAAGGCTCTGAGAGCGTTCTGGGCTGCTCTGGGACGGGCTTCTACTCGTCCCAGCCGCGTCCGATACAGTTCACCCAGAAGGATGCACGAGAAGCATGCAGGGGCCGTGGATAGAGAGCAGAAAATCCACCCCCATGATAAGCACCCCGACAAGCGAAGCCGTTCAGTAAACGCATCCAAGGAAGCAGCCGAACAGGGCAGGGCCGTTCTGTAAACGCCCAGGGCCGTTTAGTAAACGCCAATTGCGGGGGTCTGGGTGGTTATCCCTCCCCTGAGTGGATGGCCATGTCGACACTCTTCGAGCGGGGCGCGGCCAGCGGAAGAGGCCAAGAGTGGGCCGAAGGGGAGGACTGGAGCGTATCCTTGAGGAGGTCGCCCATCGTTGGCTGTATGGACCACTTCCCAGGGACGGGCTCGTCAACTCGAGTCGCTCTTTGAAGGCCCTGGGGGGGCCTGGGGGGCCCACGGAGGCCGAACATACACCCAGCCTCTGCGGTCTCGAAATGCTGGCCACGACGCGAGGATGACAGGGGAGGAGCCGGGCAGGATCCAGGCAGGATTAAGAGATGATGGCAGGACTTGGCTGGACAAAGCGGGAATGTTTAAACCACATTCGGCGAAGTGTCGACCAGGGGTATGCCAGGGTCAGGTCTGAACGTTCAACCTCCCAGGAGTTACACCTCAAGTGATAAGCAATTGAAAATACCCCTAGCCCTTTTGGGAAGGGGCCTGAGTTAAGAGGGCCAGGAACACTACGGACAGGGAGTCCCTTGGCAGACGTATCACACGAAACCACCCATATGTCAAAGGACATCCCAACACGTCGTGGACCTAAATCAGGCAACGAACTCAATGTGCTACCAGGGTTAAGGCTTGTGCCATGTTCAATGACTACGGGCGCGCCGCCGAGCGTCAAGAGCTCGGGCTCCCTGGCGGCTGCACCGCCGCGTGCCCTCCTCGGGGGGCCGCACGCACGCGGATGTGCGGCGGCGGCTCCTCGACGCCTCTCCTAGGGGCCCCTGTGGTCGCAAACAGGCCCCGTGTGGCCTGGCCCCGCGAGATCCGGATTGGTCCCGCCTAGCCGCCCCCCGGCTGCTCCGTCCGGGGCTCACTTTTGGACGCCCGAAATGGGCACGGAAAGGATGGGTACAAAATGCCCAGCAACGACTGCTGTCCCAAACCGACAGCGGCCGCTGTTGGGCAGGCGGCCTTGTGTCTCAAATGGACACAGGCCGCGGCGGCGCGGACAGCGAGTCCTGTTCAAAATGAACAGGAACTGCTGTTGGGCATTGTACCCATTCTTTCCGTACCCATTTCATTCGTGCAGATCACTTGTATGAACACCTGAAGAGACGAGACCCCGTGGCCTCGGCCCTGGAGACTCAGATCCCAGACTGGGGCCCAGAACAGACCTCGCCAGGACTGGTGGCTGGGCACCTTCGGGAAAGTGCTACTCGTCCTCATGATGCGGTTCGACCGCAGGCCCTGCTCCATTTCCGCTGCCTGGCAAGCTGCTGGGCAAACGGGAAACACCGACGCCGATGTACCCAGCATCAGTGAAGCCGCGGCGATGACCGTCGTACAGTACGAGCGACCACAAGCAAGCCACTCAGAACGCACTGCCGCCACGCACGCTGCTGCTTCCTCTCCGCCCGGCACCCAGTGGTATCCGAGCCTGCAGGACGCGAATGCCCTCGCGTGCTTCCTCTTCCCCTTCGCCTCCCCCTCGGTCTGGACGGGGCGCCCCCTGGAGGGCCAATGCGCCCAAGAAAGCCCTAGATGACTCGAGATACAGTCGGCCCGGATTAGTAGGTCGACCCTGCCAAATCAAGGGTACCCTTGTGTCCTGCGCCTCGCGACCCATGCCTCGTACGTTCCTGTGGCGATGTGGCCCTCGAAAGGGTCTTGTATCCTCTCGCGTGTCCTGTCCAATCAAGCCCGACTATAGCCCCATGATGGGTTCCAAGAAGGCTTCGGATACCTCGAGACAGCTTCGCCCTTCCCGCTGCGCGAGTTTCGGGCCGGACGGGAAGGGGACGTAGCAAATGGAGTGGTTAGCGAATCAGCTCAGGCAGCAGACTTCATAGCACCTCCTGGCGCCAGAGGCCCCAGAGTACAGTCGGCCCGTATCATGAGGATGCGCGAGGAGGGTAAGGGGTTTGGACGCCCACTTCGAAGCTTTTCGAGCGGGGCGCGGCCAACGAGAGTGGCCAAAGATGGGCCGAGGAGGCAAGGATGCAGGGGTACCCTTGGGAAGCATCTCCTTATCATGCGGGTGGACTGTATGGAGAAACGCACCGTGAGGCAGGGCCGAAACCAACTGCGCGCGGTAGATGCTGTGAACCCCCATGCCCTGTGCCCCCCTTCCGAGGTGCCAGCCACATGCGAACCCTACCTCTGCAGGTCGAATTCGGAAACGCTGGCTGGGGTTCAGAATCCGAAGGACATCTGCAGCCAGTCGGGCGGGTGGTAAAGTGGGGGTGACCCAAATTGTGGGTGGAGAAAAAAGAGCCCTCGAATTGCTTTTTAGGGATCTTTCTGGAGCCAGCAGGAATCTACAAGGAGCCCTCAAGAGCCCCTTTAGCGCCATTGTCTCCACCCCCGATTGCGCATCCCCCCAATTGCAACCCGGCCGGGCCAAATGAACCCTGGCGGGGGGATCCGGTACCCCAGCGCCGGTTGGACCCGCAAGGGTCGGGTTCGCTCGCAGTTCGTCGCAGACCGAGGCAGGTGCGCGGACGAGAGATGGGGGGTCAGGGGGCGTGTCGGGAGAACTCGAGGGGGCCCTGCAGCCCGGGAGAGCTCATGGCCCCAGCCATGAAGCCCCTGCGGAGACACCACCTGGGAGGTTCTCGTAAGACCAATCGGGTGACCATTCAACCCGATCGAAGGGCCACCAAGCTGGACTTGCACGGATCCAACCCAACATTCGCGGGATCAAGCGGAATTGCGCAGGATCTGGCTGGATCGTGCACGTGTTCGACGACGGAGCTGCCCGCGGCCGATGCCGAATTGACTGAACCTCCCCCAAGGAGGCAGCCTAACGGCCCTGAGGTCCCCAACCGCCTCTCGGACGCCGCCGAGCAGGGTGGCCGAAGATGGATCCACGGAGCCCTCCCGGGGACCCCCGTGTCCCGGTCTCGAGCCGCGTCCGGCGGCGGCCACGGGGACCCCCACCCCCCAAGCTGGCGGCTCGACAGGAGGCGCTGCCAAGATCGGGGGTCGCCACTCCTGGTCCTGGCCTACGGTGTCCCCAGAGTCTCGCGTAGAGGACCCCCTTGGGGGCCTCGTGAGAGGAGATCATCTGGAAACCGCACGGGCGACGATCAAAAGCGTGTCTTGCGCGGAATGGCACAGCGACCTCACGCCGCGGCTTACGCGGGCCGCCAGCGCGGCACGCTGCAAGGGTAAGCGAGGGCGCCCACGCGCGAGCTTACGCGGGCAGCTTGCGCGCCCATGTCGGTGGAGACGAACCCGTTTCCCTTCGTCGCTCCTGTGCGCCTCCCTGGCCGCTCTCGGGCCAGCGCCACTCCTGGCAGCGCCGGCCACGAGCCCGGGCTCCGCCGCCGCATGCGGCGCCCCCCCCTTTCGGGGGCGGCCAAGAGGGGGGTGTCCAAGAGGGGGGGTGCAAATCATGGCCGGCGGCATGTGCGCGGCCCAAGGGGGGGGGGGGGGCCAGGGACGTAATGAAATAAGAAGAGGCGCCATGAAATCTGGGGGGAAATATCATGGCCCCCGCCATGAGATCACCCCCCCCCTAGTCATCACCCCCCTCTTTTCCGCCCCCCCCCCCTTCCCCCCCGGGCGCCTCCGGGCGCCAGGTCCCGGAGGTTGTGCGCGCCCGTGCACTGGTCGCCTGCCCCCCGGGCGCCTCTGCCCGGCGGCCTGCCTGCTCCCCCTGCCCGGACCCGATGAAGGGCGAGGGGCGGCAACCCCGCGCGACTCGACAGCCACCGCCCCGCACACGGTCCACACCGGGATCGTACCCTCTCCTGCTCCGCGCCCTCGCCCATGCCCCTCCTCCTCTTCCGCCTCTGCCCCCTCAATTCCTCCTCTCCGTGTCTTCCTTCTGGTCCTCCTCCTCCTCTTCCTCTTCCTCATCCTCCACCTCCTCGTCATCCTCCTTCTCCCTCGCCTCACCATGACCACAACCACCACTATCATCTTCGCCACCCCCTTTCATGTCACGGCCCGCAGCATAAGCATCACCAGGCCAATTATCAGAATCGTCATCGGATTACGCAAATCGGTCACGCAGTGCCATTGTCGTCGTCAACAACAAGATCACAATCGTGGCCGCCGTCGTCGTCGCCACCATCATTACTGCGGTCACTCCCATCACCACGACCACCGCTGTCACCGCCATCATCTGCGTCTCGGCCACCACCATCATCATCATCATCATCATCATCATCATCATCATCATCATCATCATCATCATCACCAACAACAACACCAAAAACATCAACATCACCACCAAATTCAACAACATCGCTTTCAGCCTGGCCACCCTCATCATTATCATTACATGCACCGCCATCGGAATCCTAATCCTCATCGCCATCATCGCCCGCTCTCTCCTCCCCTCTCCGTCCCCGTCCTCCGCCTCCCGCTCCCGCCGATTCCTGCCCCTCCCGTTGCCGCCGCCCTGCCCCCCCGACGACACCGACGACCGCCCCCCCCCAGTGCCAACTCTATCGGCCGCCCTGGCCATCGCTCGGACGTCCATTCCCTGCGTTGTTTTCGGTCTCGTGCGCGGTTTTTTCGCCAAATGATCAAGGATGCTCCTCGATGGTCCTCGCCGAAAAAAAATGCACACGTCCGAGCGATGCCCGCCCCAGCACTCCGCCTACGCTGCCTGGACGCCTGCTGCATGGGGTCCGCGCAAATGGGGGTCGAGGGCCGCGCGCGTCGCCAATGCATCGCCGATGCGCTGGCGCTGCATCGGCGACGCTGGGAAAGCATCGGCGGCGTCGGCGATGCATCGGCGACGTCGGCGTGGGGAAGCACGGGCTCCACACCGAGCCGCCTCGGCGACGCATCGGCGATGCGGCGCGATCCTCAGACCCCGAGGCCTGGACATTCTGCCTGCGTTGCCGCCTGGCCGGCGCCGCCTCCGCAGCGACCGCATCTTCGTCGCGGGCGGCCCCGTTCTCCCCTCCCTCTCCCGACGACCCCCCCCATCCTCTGCGCTTGCCGCGCGGCGTGTCCAATACCCACACCTCCGACGCCGCGCCGCCCCCACGACGGTGCCCCCCCGGGGGGTCCTGGGTGACCTTCGACGATCTGCTTTTATCAGCCAGAGAAAACGCAACGCAATGAAGAAACGCGGGTGTTGCGAAGAAGAAAGAAGACTCGCGGGTGTTTAGAATTAGGTCAGGCATGTCCCCCTACAGGCGGAGCTTGAGCGAACAATCAAACATAGTCGACACATACACAGAAATGATCAGACAAATATTTAAAAACTCGTCCCCGGAGTAGTTTTTCACTATTTTTGAATATTCCCCCTGTAGAGGGACACGCCCGACCTAAGCCCCACCAGCCCTCTGGGCGTCGGTGGTTTAAGGCGTTTCCTCTTCCACCCCTCCTTCTTCCCCTTCGGGGAGGGGTTTACCCCTCCCCCTACCCCCTACCCATGGACCTGGACAAGGGGTTCCGCGAGTCGTCGGAGCGTCCAAAACGGCCTCGGCGAGGAAGCCAAAATCATTGGTGTTACAAGGGTTTGGGCCCCATTTTGGCCTCTTGGGGGGGACGCTAATTCAAGCTCCCCTCTTGTTTGATCGATCTCCTCCAATATGGCCCCAAGAAGCGCCCAGGTGGCCCCGAGAGGTCCCAAGATGGCCCCAAGATGACCCCAAGAGGCCCTTCAGAGGCCCCCGGGAGGCCCCCCAAAGGATCCCAAGCGGCCCCAAGAGGCCCCCCCGAGGCACCCAAGACTCCGAAGAGCCCCCCACGACCGCCAAGAGACCCCCAAGACGTCCCAAAACGCCCAAGAGATACCCCAAGAGGCTCCGAGAAGCATCCAAGAGACCTCTGGCCCTTGCTTGCTCTCCTCCTCCTCCTCCTTCCTCCTCCTGTCCCTTCTCCTCCTCCTCCTCCCCCTCCGCCTCCTCCTCCTCATCCTATTCATCCTCCTTCTCCCTACTCCCTCATCCATCCATCCTATTTTCTCCTTCGCCCCCTCTCTCCTTCACACGGTTCGGCCGTCCCCCGCTTTGCTCCCGCACCTCCCTGATCACCCCTCAACTCGCCTGGACATCGTTTCTGCATGGGCTGGTGGGGATGCGCGAAGCGTCTAGAATCTAGACGACAGAAACGCCATAAACTCAAACTGTCGGCGCTCCGCGCGGACTCCTCGGATCTGCGCCGGACCTCCCTCCCTGGCGCGCGGGGCGCGCCAGGGGCGGCGCACGAGGCGCCGCCCGGGGGTGGCGGGGCCAGCGCGGAGCCAAGAAAGCCGCGCGGAGCGCCACAAGTCTGCGCTGATGGTGCTCTTCGCCTTCGGCCTCCGGCGATCTGACCTTCTCACTCCGCGGGCGCTCCTCGATCTCTGCCCTCGGAGCCTGTCTTCACGGGCGAAGAACGGCATAAAATAGACGTTTTCGCCGTCGGGGGCGCCTGCCCCAGGGCGGCTGGGAAGTTCATACCCTTACGGTGGCACCGTAGGGGTATAAACTTTCCAGCAGCCGCCCAGGGGCAGTGCCCCCGACGGCGAAACAAAATTACGTTATGCCGTTCTTCGCCGGCTGACTGTCACTGGGCCTGGTCGTTTCCGCCTGCGGGTGCTCCTCGATGCCGGCCGGCCCTCGCGGGGCGGGAAATTGTCGGGCCCGCGAGGGCCGTCCGAGACGGAGCCGCAGCGGAAAGACACCCCTCGGGAAGGCGGTCGGGAGCTTTGACGCATGGGTCCGCGGATCCTCTGACCCCTGGGGAGAACAAGATCTCGTCGGACGTGATTAGGCGGCGAGCCAGGGGGGGGAAGTGAGAAGGGACGCACCTTCTCAGGAGGCTCGGAAGTCCCCCGGACTTCTGAGAAGTTTTCTAAGCCTTCCCCGAAGACAGAAACAACTTCTCAGGAGGCGCGAGGGCTTCTGAGAAGTCCCGCCGCCTTCTGAGAAGGCCTTCTCCTTCTCAATTCCCCCCCTCGCTCGCCGCCGAGTGATGGTAAACTGCCCCCCCCCCCCCATCCCAGAAGCCAGCGCGAGACATCAGCAGGAGGCATGACCAGATGCGATGGTACCATCAGCACGAGGCACCAGCACGGGGCACCAACGGCCAGAAGCCAACACGAGGCATCAACACGAGACACCAACACGAGGCATCAACACGGGCGTGAGTCTAGGGAAACAAGCAATGCGCTGACCCCCCTCCCTGGCGCGCGGAGCGCGCCAGGGTGTCGGCACCGGAAGCGCCGCTGGGGGTGTCCAGCGCGGATCCGAGACATCCGCGCGGACCTCTGAGTTTTTATGTCTGTGTCATGGTTCGTTCCCCCAGCTTCTCCCCCCCCCACCCCCGGCAGCCAGCACGAGACATCAACAGTGCCGAGATACGAGACGCACGCGCGGCCACTCGCTCTCCTCCTCGCAACGCCCCGGTGGGGGCCTGCCCCGCGGTCCTCCCTGCCCCCTTTGGAAGACGAGGGCGAAGGTCAATCGACTGGTCGATCAACGAATGACTGACGACGAGGTTTCTGGAGAGTATGTCAGCGAGGATCAAGAACGGGTCTTGCGCGAAGGAACATAGCTACCTTACGCGGTGGCTTACGCGTCGGCGCGGCACGCTGCTACGGAGACGAGGGCGCTTACGCGCGACCTTGCGCGGGCAGCTTACGCGCCAATGTCAATGCAGAGGACCCTCTTTTCTGCTCATATGGTTTTTGCGGCGGTGCTGGGCGTTATGGGAGGAGCGGGAGAAAGGGGCATAACGTAACGCCCCCCACCCACCCACCCACCCACCCATCCACCCTGCCGTGTGGGTCCACCATAGACTGTGGTGCAGGACGCGCTGCGGCAGTGCTTGGGACGCACTGGGGTGGGGGAGCCTTCGGTTGCGGGGGGAGGGAGGGGGGGGCACAACGCGTGTTATGGCCTAGAGGGTAGCAGAAGCACTCTCCTGCCAGCACGACCCGACACGACCGCACGAACACTACCTGAACGACGAAACAAACAGGCCTTACGAACGATGGCACGGAGACCTGCACGCGGTGGCTTACGCCGGCCGCCAGCGCGGCACGCCACGAAGGGCGCTTGCGCGCGACCTCACGGGGCCCGAGACTGGGCGAAGAGCGCGATGTGCAAAAAACTGCGACGCCCGTCGGCGGAGTCGGACCCGACTCATTCTGCTCTCACCCGGGGCGTGCCACTGGCCAGCGCCGGCTGGGCCCTCCCCCCCCCCGCCCTTCGTGCAGAGGCCCTGCGTGAACAGCATGCACATGGAGGGCTTCATGAGCCCGGGCGGGAGAGGCGCCAGCGCCTGCCAGAGCGGGGCGAGGCGGAGGGAGGGAGGGAGTCCGATCGGAGCGGGCTTGGCTCAGGCGTTGCTCCATGGGGGAGGGGGGCGGTAAGTGCGATGAGCGAAGAAACGTGCACCTGTCGTGCCCCTTTTGGGCACCCAGGGGGTCCCTTGGGGGCACAGGAAGTGCACCTCTCGTCACTCCCCCCCTTGATCGCCCCTACATTACGCAACGCCCGCTCGGTGGAAATACCCAGTTGTTCCACACCTGGCGTTTTCTCCCGGGTTCGGGCCTTGGGGCCATCACAGATCGATGCGGATCGGACAATGCCGCAGTAAGATAAAGTCTATGGTATACTAGCGATGTTTTGCGATGTTGCATTATGTTGTCAAAACGTTGCCTCTCAGGGTGTGGCGTTGCCCCTGATGCCGCCGCAACTGCTGCTGCGAAAGAAAGAGGAGGCGGAAGAGGCGGAAGAGGAGGCGGAGGAGGAGGAGGAGCCGGAGGAGGAGGACAAGGAGGAAGAGGAAGAGGAAGAGGACGACGCGGAGGAGGAGGAGAAGGAAGAGGAAGAGGAAGATGAAGAGGAGGAGGAGGAGGAGGACCTCGCGTCGAGAACAAATATTACGATGTGGCCACTCCCCGGGTCCCTCCCGCAGCACGCTCTGGCCAGGATCTCCAGGCGACACCCGGCCGACCGTGGAGACGAAAAGTCCCCCCCCAGCACCCCCCCAGAGGGAGGCCCAGAGAGGCGAGAGACATGGAAGGGTGTCGGCATGTGAGCGTTTTCTTACTCGGCGTCTCGACACTGGACAGGAGGAGGAGGGGAGCAACAGGGCGTCATATGGCGGAGGGGCCCCGCCTGCTCGAGACATGCGCCCAAACCAGCCAATATCTACTCCACGGGGAGGGGGGAAGGGGGGGGGTGCGAGGGCCTGCACCGATCGGCAAAACAATGAATAAGAAAACGGCGACATCAGGATGTGATTGCTTTCTGACTCCTCCTCCCCTGCCGTCCTCGCGTCGTGCACAAAGTCACGACGGCCATGTTTAAAGATGATGTTCGACCTCAGGGGGCCCTCTGCGGACACCCCGAAGGCCCGCCCCGCCCCCCAAACGATTTTTGTGGTAGAACGCCGACGTCGACGACAACGTTGACGTTGACGTCGACGTCAATGACGTCGACGACGACGATGACGACGGCAGGTGCTGCGGCAGCGTTGGCGACGAAGACGGCGGCGCTGGCGGTGACGCTGGCGACCCCCTTGGAGAGCCTCTGAGACCCTCCGAAGGCCTCTGGCAAACCTCCCAAGACCTCCACGAGGCTTGACGACGACTGGCGCCGCCCAAACGGGGTCCGAGCATAGTGGGCCAGAGGATCGCCATGCAGCGCGGAAACGACAAGGTACCGATGCCGAGGCTCTGCGGACCTCTCCTGTGGTGCGTTCTGGCCAGGATCTCGAGGCGAATCCAGCGGAGGCGACGAGGGCGAACGAGGGAAGGCTAGCGGTGTCGGTACCTGTTGTCTTCTCTGAGAGGGGGGGGGCGATCCTCCGACTCCATCTTGGTGTGCAAGAGCCGGGTCCCGAAAGAAACAGGCCCTGGGCCCTGGGGCTCTCCTCCCCGGACGGCAGGTCCCAGGGGCCCGTGGAGGATTAGCGACCTGGAGGGACCCCTATCCCCCTTGGGAGCGGCCCTAAGTTTAGAGGCCCAGCACATCAGGGGTAGGGGGTCGGTTCACCAGCTGTGCAAGCCATACCTCCCATGCTTGTCATCTCAAACGCGAACACGGCTACGCCTTCCAGGTGTTCCTAGGGTGCCCTTGTATCCCACACGACCAGAGAGCCCGAAGAATGCAGCACAGACAGCTCCTGGACCGGTTTCCCCCAGGACGCGCGCGCTTCCTGGTGCCCATGTGCGCACTCCCCCCGGGTGTCCCCGAGGGAGCCTCCCCGGAGGCCTCCAAGAAGCTCCATGGCGACGGCGGCGGGGAAGCGCCGTCGCCGTCGAACTCCGTGGGGGCGCCCGCGCTGGAGGCGCCGCCGGGGGCGCCCAGCGCAAATCCAAGAGACCCGCGCGGGCCTTCCTTCGAAAGTCTATGCTCGTATCGTTCTGTCATATTCATTCGAAGCTGCGGGCCCCTCTGTCGGGCGTTGGCGGGACTTGGTCAAGTGGGATCTGGTTTACTGATGTGTACCGGGGGACGCCCCCGCACCCCCATTCCACCGACCGAACCTGCCGTCGCCCGAAGAAACACCCAGAACGGGGCTCATTTTTGGGGCTTCCGTTCCCAATCACTTATCGGCTCCCCTCGTTGGCGGCGCGCACACGGGGGTAGGGGAAGGGCGGCAGGCTTCGTGAAAAGAGGCTGCTTATAGGAGGGCGCCAGCCTTATACCTATACAAGCAGTGGTGCTTCTAAGAAGCCCTCCCCACTCCCACCACCACCCTCTGCGCGTGGCTCCCCTCATCCGGGGACCTGGCTTTAGGTCGGGCGTGTCCCCCTACAGGCGGATTTTAGGCGACGAGTTCAAACAAGTCACAAACAAAAAACATAATGCTCAAAACGGTTATAAAAAAAAAAAAAAAAAACATCCCCAGACTATTTTTATTATCTTTGAATATCCCTCCTGTAGAAGAACAGGCCCGACTTAATCCTGGCTGTATCCGACTCTGAGCGACTCGCCGAGAGACGCGAACTCTGGGCGGCGGCGGCGGGGGGAAGCGCCGTGGGCCCCGAGGCGGGTGCCGGCGCGGCCGCGGGCGGCTCCTCGAAGGAGGGGGGGTCCATCGCCTCCCCTCGTCCTGCGCCTCGGCCCCCAGCCTCTAACCCTCTGCTTGGACGCCCGAAATGGGTACGGAAAGAATGGGCACAGTGCCCAACAACAAATGTTGTCCCAAACCAACAGCGGCCGCTGTTGGGCAGGCGGCCTTCTGTCTTTATGGGCACAGAGCGCGGCGGCGCGGACAGCGAGTCCTGTTCAAAATGAACAGGAACTGCTGTTGAGCGTTGTACCCATTCTTTCCGTGCCCATCTCGTTCGTGCAGACTGTGGCTCTCGCCTTAGCGCCGCGCACAGTCGTCTTGAAAGTTTGCTACAAGTTCACGGAGGAAGGCCGGGCTGTGCTCAAAATGCCACTCTCGCCCCAGCGCCGCGCACGTTTGTCTTCGCACTGTGCAGCAATTGTACGGATGGCAAGCGGTTCCTTCTCAAAATGTGGCGCTCGCCTTCGCGCTGGGCACATCCGCTATGAGGGGTACAACAGTTTCAAAGATTTGTCACGGTTAACATCCCCAGCATGGAGTGTTGGTACGATGTCGGCTTGCCAGGGCGCACTAGATACGTTGATTCGTGGTGATGAGGTTTCAGAGAAGGCGTTCTGGAACGATTCAGAATCGTCAGGACGCAACAGTAACCGTGACTCGCGGCACTGAAGTCCCAGGGATGGTGTTCTAGCACACTCCAGGATTTCAACACGGTTGTCTCCCAACATAATAAAAATGACTCCTTGCAAAATCAATGATGGCTCTTGGGCTTACACTGGTCCTCCTCTTCCTCCTCCGACTCCTCCCCCTTTCCTTTTCCTTATGAGCAACTCCTCCCTGTGACACCCCGAGACGTGCCCGTAGGGTGGGCTGGGCATTTCGCCTGCCACTGATGACCGTGAGACTGGAAAATGCATGGAGGGCGGTCCGATTTCCAAAATGTGGCTCTCACCCTAGTGCCGCGCACGTTCGTTTTAGGATATTGCAACAGCTTCACGGATGAAGGGCGGATCCTCTTCAACAATTTGGCTCTCGCATTATTGACGCTCACACTCGCCAGAAGAGTTTCACAACAGTTTTACCCATTATCATATCTTCCGCCCTCCCCCCCAAAAAAGAATGTGCACGGAGCAGGATTGCCAGGGAGCAGCAGTTACGTTGATCCGCGGTGCTGACAAGCTGGCGCGATTCAGGATCGTCAAGACGCAACACTAACTGTTATTCGCGGCGTTGGAGTCCTAGGAATGATGTTCTAGCACGCTTCATTTCACCCGTTTGTGTTCCAGCGGGGCATTACCCACAATGGAACAGAATCCTTGTAGGAGTCTGCGAAGAGTGAACTTGGAAGGAAGGTGCATTGCAATGGTGACTCTTGGGTTTGCACTGGTCCTCCTCCTCCGCCACCTCCTCGTCCACCTGCTCATAACTCTATGATCTCACAGGCCGGCAATTCAGTCGCGACAAGATTCCGTGACCTACAATCCAAATCAATCCTCCTGCCTCCACTCCTCCTCATGATTATCTTCGTCCCCCTCATCCTCCGTCTCCTCAACCTCGTGATCGCTGTCGTCGGAGGTCGGCGCCAAGGTCGTCGCCGCGTGTCATCATCCTCGAGGCCGCCGTCGTTGTCAAAGGAGGGGGAGGGGTCGAACTTTGAGACACTCGAGTATCGCAGGTTTGGGATTGAATTTTGTTGTTTGCGTATCGTCTTTCTCGGGCCTCCAATGAGCTCCTCGTCGCAACAGCTGGGTCTCTGAAAAGGGTCGCCGTCGTCGTCGTCGTCGTTGGTCGTCGTCAGTCGTTGGTCGTGGTCGGTGGTTGGCGTCGAGTGGTCGTCGTCCGTCGTCGTGGTCGTTGAGGTCGTCGGCGCCGAAGAAGAAGAGCAAGGGGAGGAGTGAGTGGGACGGAGGTCCCATGAGGAAGGAGGGAGTTAGGGAGGCAAGGGGGACGAGGGAGACGGGATGAGGGAGGGAAGAGGGAATGGGAGGGAGGAGGAAGGAAGTGGGATGGACGACGAAAGGAGGGATGGAGGAGGGAAGAGGAAGGACAAGAGAGAGGACGGAGAAAGGGGGAGAAAAAGGAGAATGAGCAAAGAGGATGGGTGAACACCCATTCACGCGAATCGTGCACTGGAACGAGCTCCAACTATGGCACCGATGGGCAGCTTCACACGGGTCGTGCCCTACAAAAAGCTCCACCTGCGGCTTCAAGGAGCGGGTTCGCGCGGGGGTGCCCGGATTATTTGGCACCCTCTTCACGCGGAGCGTGCGTGCCCCACACGGAGATCAGCGCGCCTATGCATGCTTGGTTCCGCAGCAGCCCGCTATCAGCTCAGTCCTGCGGCGCGCGGTATATGATGAGAAGGCCACGCCCTGCCATGACTGCATAGGGATGGGTCCGTCGCCAAACCAATTGTTCGCTTACACATGCCCTTCGGCCAATACCGCCTCCGTGTCTGAGTTTAGGGCCAGAGGCTTCTTGGATCCCTGAGATTCGGGGTCTCTTGGTATGCTTCTCGGGCGCCTCGTGGAGCGAATTTTGAAGCTTCACAGGACCTCTTGGGCCCTCTTGGGGACTCTTATGGGGCTTTGGGGGTCCTCTTGGGGGCCTGCTGGCAGCCTCGGGGGCCTAGCGGAGGACTCGACATGTCAGCTCGAGTTCACCCTCTTGGACTCTTGGGGCCGTCTTGGGCGCCTCTTGGGCCGTCTGGTGCCCTCTGGGGGGCCTCTTGGGACGTCTTGGGGCGGTGTTTGGGCTCTCTTGGGCCGTCTTGGACGCTGTCCCAAAAACGCGTATATTCTAAAAGTGCACGTCTTCCCTCAGGAGTGTCGCAAATTCGGGCTCTCGGGGGGGGGCGTATCGGAGCCTTCTTGGAGCGTCTTCGGGGCCTCTTGGGCCATCTTGAAACAATCTTCGGGCGTGGTCGACCCTGCTGGGCCGCTCTGGTCGATCTTGTGCCCTCCGCAGCTGTTTTGGGCCGCCGGAGGGAGGCCCCAGAGGGGTCCAGATTTTCGGTGCCAACAGGTCAAGTAGGAGAGCCACTACAGAATTGATTTACACCAGATATGAGATGTTCATCGAATGTGCAGAAACATACGTAGATTGCTTGTAGATCGACGAACATTCCAAGTATTTGTTCGCAGACTCGACGAACATTGCCTTTCTGGAGTTAATCAGGTCTGTAGTCGACGTCCTACTCGAAAAAGGAAGAGGCGGGGAGCGGGGTGGGGTGGGGAACTCTGGGATGGTGTCCATGCCTGGGCCTCGAGAGGCACGAACGTTGGAGTGTCCTCAAGCCCCGTGAGCCCCCTCTGCATTGAATGATACAGGGAACTGCCCGCCATCGCTCGGACGTCCGTTCCGTGCGTATGCTTCGGCTTCGATCAGGCAACAGATCCCAAAATAGTAAAAAAATGCTAAAAAAATAATCCCCAGATTATTTTTTTTTACTGTTTTTGACTACTCCCCCTGAAGAGGGGCAGGCCCGACTTGACCCGAATTCGCAGACCTCCTATAGGCTGTGACGCGCGACTCCCCGGGGCTCCTCCCGGGCCTCCCGGGGCCCGGCTTCTCGCGCGCGGCTCCCCCGAGGGCCCCATAGGGCGGCCCATGGGCGGGCCCCGCGGCGCCCCACTGGGCGGTCCGTAGGCGGGCTCCGAGGAGACGGCCCTGCGCCCCAGCACGGCTCCCCAGGCCACCAGCAGGCCCCCAAGAGACCCCAGGAGCCCCCCCGTCCCCCCCCCAAACAAAGCAGCTCCCAGGACGCCCTGAGGAGACCCCAGCATCGGCCGCGAGCCCCGGGGGGGGGGAAGGGAGGAGGGGCGGGCCTTCTCAGAAGGCCCGGAAGTCCCCGGGCCTTCTGACAGGTTGTCTGAGCCTTCCCAGGAGAAGACACGGGACACTTCTCAGAAGGCGCGAGGGCCTCCGAGAAGTCTCGCCGCCTTCTGAGAAGGCTTTTTCTTCTCCTCCTCGCTTCCACCCCTCGCGCGCCGCCGATGGACGGAAGGTCTCTCCCCTCCCCTGGGGAAACCGAAAGTGCCGAGACCGCCACTCCCCAGACCTCTCCCGGGGTGCGTTCTGACGGGAACAATTTCGAGGCGCATCCAGCGGTGGCGACGAGTGCCTCCCAGGGGCCCCAAAAGAGGGAAAAAGAGGGACGGGTAGCGGTATATTCGTAACTTGTCATTCTCCGAGCGAGCCTCCCCCTCCCCCTCTTCCCCTCCACCTCCTCCTCCTCCTCCTCCCCCTCCTCCTCCTCCTCCTCCTCCTCCTCCTCCATTCCTTCTCCTTATAAATAACTTCTCCCTGTCGCATCCCGAGGCCAGAGACAAAGAGGGGCCCCAAGAGCCGCCATGAGGCCCCTGGGAGAACCCCGAGCAGCCCCTGCCAGGGAGAAGGGAGGGGGCAGCTGCGCATGGCGCGGGGAGAGGGGTCGGCTGCGGGGGGGGGGGGGGAAGGAGCAGGACGGGATGGGACGGGAGGGGGACTGGAGGCGAGAGATCGGGGGATGGACAGGGAGGGAGGGACCCGGGGAGGTGAGGAGCAGGAGGGGAGCAGCGGAGGGGGTCGAGGAGCGGAAGGGAGGAGGGGGGGGGGAGGACGAGCCGGAGCAGGAGCAGCCCGAGGACAACGAGGCTGGGGGAGGGGGGGACGTGGGGCGTGTCCTCCTCGGAGGCGTGCGTCCGACCCGAACAGATGGTACACTGATCTCACAGTACATCGTTTCCCGAGCGGGACGGCCAGACAGAGCCCGCCACGATGCACATACTGGAAGATTTCTCGGCGCGGGCGTTGCCTCTGGGGGGGGTGCGACGCACACATAGCATTAGTATGCTGGGGCGACGCCGAGCCCCACGCATCCGACGCCGTGCTGTTTTTTTGTTCAAAGCGTCGGCGTCCACAGGGTCGGGTCACGTCCCCGGACCGGCTTTTCATCCCGGGTCGTTTCTTGACGGCCCCGGGGCCCGTCGAGCTTTCCTGTTCTTTTCCGCGCCGCGAGGACGTCAGGGGACCGTACATGGACATTAGATTCGAACCCTGTGGCCCAAGATGCCCCCCATACCCCCCGAAATTAATATTGATGGCGTGGCGGCGGGGGGGCCGTGAGTGGACAGAAACATTCGAACCCCAAAGAACCGCCTTTACTGAGATCAACATTGATGTCAGGGGCGCGGGGGTGATTTAGAATCTCCCTCGAATGTGCAAGGGTTCGAGTATTTTGTCCATCTACTGGAGGTGGGGGGACCTATGGTCGCAGCTGGGCACGCGGGCGAGCGGACGAGGCCCTCAACAACAGCCGGCGGCCGTCGGCAGGGTCCGCATCGGGGATGGGCAGGACCCCCTTTAGCAAAAAGCGGAGTAGGGAAAACGACCTCGGGCCCAAACCTGGCGGGCGCAAGCCTGGAGAATGACGGCCGCGGCGCCCTTTCGAGATCCGTAAACGGACAATTCACGAATCGACGTGTCAGGGTGGGGTGTCTGACCATCCCCGACCGCAGGGGAACAACAAACAGCATACATTGAATGCAATGGATCTCCGCGCGGATTGCTTGGATCGGCGCTGGACTTCCCTCCCTGCCGCGCGGAGCGCGCCAGCGGCGGCGCCAGAGGCGCCGCCAGGGGGGGACAACGCAGATCCAAGATATCCGCGCGAGGCGCCAAAAATTTATGTTTATAGCGTTTGTCCTTCGTCGATAGCAAGAAGCACTCTCGTTGCTTTGCTCCTCTCTGGAGCGCTTGAGCCAGGCCCCGAGCCCGGACGATACCAGGGACACCATCGTGCGGGCGGTGACCTGGCCAGCCCCGGGACCAGGTGAGCGAGGCCGCGGCCTGCGGGCAGTGTGGTGTGCATGGTCCATCTAGGAAGAAATAACTCCATGAACAGAAGCTTCTGGAGCTCCGCGCGGATGTCTTGGATCCGCGCTGGGCCTCCCCCTGACGGCGCCTCCGGCGCCGCCCCTCTGGCGCGCTCAGCGCAGATCCAAGAAATCCGCGCGGAGCACCAAAAGTTTATGTGTGTGGCGTTTTTCCCTCTTCGAACATAAACATCAGCCATGCGTGCAAGACCTATGCCTACAGCGGATTCGTGTCGTGCTGACTTCGGCGTTGGTTCCTGACACCGCGGGGATCGTTCAACCTTCAACGATCGCCCGCTTCCGAAACGCGAGATCGTTCAGCATCGACCAATTTTGGGTCGCCTGCGGAGTTCAGCGTTGAACGCAAGGCGCCAGGGTGGCCTCCGATCGACACGACGCGAACCTACCGTACCGGGAAGCTGGACGCACACATGGCAGGATCCACAGGTGGAACGTCTTGAGGCCACGCGCTGGGTGCACGGGCGGAAGCACGGCGAGCCCGGATGCCAGGAAGAGCCGAGCGCTGGAAAGACATGCGGCCGTACGTGCACTCGGCCCTTGTGCCCAAGCTGGCCGCGTCATCTGCACAGAGAGTCATATCTGGCGAAGTATGACGATAGAACAAGAAAAACGCGGTAAGCATAACATTCAGGCGCTTCGCGCCGATTTTTTGGATCTGCGCTGGACCCCCCTCCCTGGCGCGCGGAGCGCGCCAGGGGCGGCGGCGGAGGCGCCGCCGAGGGGGGGCCCAGCGCGGATCCAAGACATCCGCGCGGAGCGCCAAAAGCGTATGCGTATGGCGTGTCGTCATGTCATGTGTGTAGGAGGTCAGATCTGACGAAGGATGAGGAGGGTGGGAGGGAGGAGGACGGAGGGAAATGACCGCGGGGAGGGAGGACGGAGGGAGGAAGACGGAGAGTGGCGGGAGAAGGGCGGAGGGAGGAGGACGAAGGGAAACGACGGAAGGAAGAGCAGCGACAACGAACTGGGGCGAAGATTTGGACATCCGGCATGGACACCGAAAGAATGGGTACAATGCCCAACAACAAATGTTGTCCCAAACCAACAGCGGCCGCTGTTGGGCAGGCGGCCTTCTGTTTCGAATGGACACAGGCCGCGGCGGCGCGGACAGCGAGTCCTGTTCAAAATGAACAGGAACTGCTGTGGGGCATTGTACCCATTCTTTCCGTACCCATCTCGTTCGTGCAGAGAAGAGGGGCCGCAGGGGGCTCGGTTTGGCCCGCCCGGCCCGCGCCTCCGCCTCCTGCCCCCACTTGCTTTTCCGCTCACGCCGCCTGGTCGCCGCGTCGGCCTCGGGCTTGCCTGATCCACGGCCAAACCGAGAGGCAGAGAGGAGGTGTAGGCGAGGGAGGGGAGGGAGGCGAGGGGAGGGAGGGAGGGAGGCGAGGGAAGGGAGGCGAGGGGAGGGAGGGGAGATGGTAGGCGAGGGAGGGGAGGGAGGGGAAGCAAGAGGTTGGCGCGCCCACAGTGGAGACGGCCGCAGATAGGAACGACGCCAAAACAGCAACTGCTGTCCGGCATGGGCCGTGGCTCCTGTTGGACATACGACGTTCGGCGCGATGGGAATCGACAGCGAGTCCTGCCCCAACTGAAAAGGCACTGCTGTCAACCATCGCCCTCTCGAGAAGAGGCGAGGCTGAGCAGCAAACCCTATGGATAACCAGATGAGCTTCAGGACCTGTTAATTGGCCAAGGGGCGAGGCTCATGAGAGAACTGGTGCCGACGTGCCACGACGAATTGCAAGCAACACCAGCAAACCGTGTGCATCAACGAGACGAGCAAGGAAACGTGATGGTTACAAATGCGGGGTCAAGTACGTGCACATAAGATGTGGGTACGTCTGCGTGCGGGTGTGGTACAACCGTATTCTTCCCTGTCGCACTCGATCGATCGCCCATGCCCTTGTTCATGTCTTACCTCGTGTGCTTGCTTCTGACTCGAGTATTTGCTTGATGTGCTTCGAGCCTGGCGTGTGCTCTGGCCTCGGGGACGTCATGGTTGTTGATTTCGCTGCCTGGCCCATTCGTTCATCAGAGTCCCGGGAAGGGATACACTCAGAAAACCATTACCCCGCACGCACAAAGCCCATAAACCATTACAGCTGATCATTTTACATGCCCGGAGCTAACTACCCAGGCTTTATCGCGACCATGCCCTTGCATGCACGAACGGCCAGCCCGCTTCAGAACAGGAAATCTGCTTGCGCGGTGGGGGGGGGTGACGACACATCGGCGAGGTGTCTCCGCGATAGCGACACGGCAGTTGGTTCTTGCAGGACGAGACACTCCATGGCCCGATCGGCGATACATGGGCGATTGTGCGTCCATGCGTTCCCACCGAGCGCACATCTGGTAACCGAACCTATTACAGGAGACCGTCCTTCAAGAACATGGGACCCTCCGCTGGCCAAACTGAGGATCACTCGATGGTGCCCTCCCCCAGGATGAACAAGAACATTCAACAAGCACGAAGAACATAGGGTACCCTCCCTACCCTCCCCGAACCGACCTCGATCTTCTACCTCGGTCCGACTGTATCCCCCTCCAACATTGCCTCTTGGCTTTCGGGTCCATGACCCGAAATTTTCCTGCGGACGTTCAGGACAATTTCTGGGCACATTCCCGGCACGCTCTCGGCGAGGCGTAGCTGCTGTAAGAGGCATCCCGAGGCTGGGAAACCGCCGCGGCCGTGCGAAAACGTCTGACACCTCGAATCGATGACGATGACGATGACGATGTCAGCATCGTCATCATCATCATCGAATCCGAAACTTCCTGGGTGAATCCAGCCCCCCTTCGCCGCCCCCGAGGATCTGAAAGGCTTCCAACGGGACGGAAGGGGGGCCCCAACCGACCGTCCGTCCTCTTCAGCCCCTGCTCTTCTGGAGACAAAGGGGCCCACCGTAAGTCCTTCGGGGTCCAGGCCCCGCTTCTCGGGTGAAGCGATGTCCAGCTTCGACACCGACTGGACTTGCTCCAACTGGACTCACTGTCGCCCAAGAGAAACCCAAGTCCAGTCGGAGGCACACCAGCTCCAGCTGGGCTCGCTCCACCTGGGCCTCGCGTCGCCCGAGTTTCCCTCGGGAACCCCTCTGGCTTCGGCAGGAGGGGGAGGAGGCCCTTCCCCATGTCAGACCTCCTCCTGGTCGACGCGTCAGTGCCCGATCCCCGCGGGTGAACAGACAACGGCAGTCGTTACTCCAGCGGTATGGCCAGACAGCGCCCTCCACGGAGCTTACCCTATACAGCGGGCCCGTATCATAAGGATGCGCGATAAGGATGCGAGGCCCTTGGACGCCCATTCCGAAGCTTTTCGAGCGGGGCGCGGCCAACGAAAGTTGCCAATGATGGCTGAGGATAGAAAGAGAACAGCACACAAAATAAACTTTTGGCGCACCGCGCGGATTTCTTGGATCTGCGCTGGACCCCCCTGTCTGGCGCGCGGAGCGCGCCAGGGGCGGCGCTGGAGGCGCCGCGGAGGGGTCCAGCGCGGATCCAAGAAATCCGCGCGGAGCGCCAAGAAGTCAATGTTCATGTCGTTGTTGTTCTTATTCGAGAGGAGGCAAGGATGCACGGGTACCTTTGGGAAGGTTGCCCATCCTTGCTGTTGCGGGTTGACTGTACGATTTCGGATCGCGCGCTTCGCACCTGCGGGGCCGACGCACACAACTTCACATAGAACGCTTGGAGACGCCAGAAGAACGCTTCTCTCTCGGCACCTCTCTCTCTCTCTCTCTTTCCTCTCTCTCTGTGGATTTGTCCAAACGTGAACGTACACACCGATTATATATAAACATCTATATATATGTATACGTATCTGAAAACCCTCTTCTCCCTGATGGAAGCAGGCAGCAGCACGAGCGCACTGCTCATTTCAGCCCCCCGCACCGGACTCGGTCTTGCCGCCTTTCTCGTCGGCCCTGTCCTTCTCCTTCCTGCCCTTGTCGTCTGAACTTCTGTCACGCTCACGAGCTCCATCGCGATATCGCCAATCACCATCCCTTCCATCGCGATTCTTGTCACGTCCTCGCACTCCCCATCATTATGCCGTATGTTTCTTGGGCGGATTCGAGATGTTCTCCGACGCTACCCACATCCACGCTTTTATGTTGACCCCTGATTGACAAGGGAGGTGAGATCGGTGATCTGGAGCGGACGAAAGGAATGTAGTCATCTCGACGACTCTGATAGTATGTTCTGAACACCCACCGAGATTTCCCCGATGAGTATGTCCATCCACATAGTGTCCGTGTGGCGGACGACGCCAACGCATGGGCCCCAATAAGCTGATTGACGTAGCAGTGTGTGTATTTGTGTATGTGTGTGTACAACCGTTCGAACCCACTGTGGGAAAGCCAGCGTGTGAAACACCACAGAGCGGGTCGGCTCATCAGGTTTCGGTTCCTGGGGCTCATCAGGGTCATTGTGCTACTTGGGCCCAGGGGGCTCACAAGGTTCAGCAACCAACGGTCGTCGGGGTCATAAAGGCTCATAGGGCCGACGAGGCTGATAGGGCTCATAGGGCTCATAGGGCTCTTGAGGCTCTTAGGGGTCGCGCAGGCCACTGGAGGCCCAAAGGCGGCGTCTATTTCCCGGATATCTTGGCCCGAGCTCCTTGGCTCCTTGGGCAGGCGCTCCCAGCGGCTGAGAAAAACTATGTTATACCGATCTTCGCGCGCTGACTCCTGGTGGTGTGGTCCGCGAGTGGTTCGGCGCCCTGCTCGAGGCATCCTCAGTGTGCATTATCTCATGCTGCGCTTGCGAACGCGGCCGCGCAGCTGCCGTTCCAAGGCACCTGCAGTCCCCAGCTCTGTGGGGCATCGCTGGAAGAAGGGAATCCGGCATGAACGTAGAGAAGGGCTGCTAGGGATGCTGACATCCGCCGACCACCGCTCACCATGGATGAAAAGGCGTCTGAAACAGTTGGCTGTCCCCCGCCCCATTTCCCCCTCCCCTTGGGTCCAAAATGCCGTTTGAGGTGGGAGGGGGTGGGGGGACGGGAGGGGACGAGCTCCTAAAAGCACCCTGGGGACTCCGGAACCTCTCAAGAACCCCAAGACGGCGCACGAGGTCCAAAACAGAGCGCCAAAACAGAGCCAAAACAGTCCAAGGAAACGTCAAAATCGCACAAAATATCGCCACGACGACCCTAGGCCCAAGAGTGCTCCCAGAGGACAGCCGAGAGGGCCCACAGAAGCGAAAATCGTCCCATTCCCAGTGGAAAATCTACATTTGTCCCCGCATGCTTCGTGGGATTCTGGTTTTCTTCCCACCCGCGTCACACCCGCGTCTCACACCCACACCTCCCTTTTCCCTCCTCCTCTTCCTTCTCCTCTCACCCGCGCGCAACACATACGCGTCTACATGTAGCCGCACACATACATGTTGGTCACGCATCGCACGCACCAGGCGCATGCAGCAGATACGTGGCTCCCTACATAGAACCCACATGCTAAATGGGGTTTTGGTTTTCTTTCCACCCGCGTCGCATCCGCGCCGCACACAATGACACACACACACACAGACACACACACACAGACACAGACACACACACAGACACAGACACACACACACACCAAATCAACAATACACAAAACCAGCACACACACAGCCGCACGCTCACACGCACACACACACACACACACGCACACGCACACAGAGCACTCACGGACACGCCCACTCACACACACATGCACACACACACACACGCATGCATCAGACTCCACGCGCAATCAGCCACGCACGCGCGCTCACACACCATGCAACGCTAGCGTACAAAGGCATGTTCACTGTATCATACACCCAAGACGCATGCACCACATAACCGGTATACGCATGACGCACCGACGCAGGCCGAGGCATTTGCAGGACGCGCAAGACCCACAAAACACCACAAACAAACGCGCAAGAGTCGCAGGCGTGGCAGGCGTGGAACTTTCTCGGCACCGCAGGGGGTGCGCAAGAGGTGGGGGCGCTATCCATCGTAGTACGCTCGCGAAGCGCGGCAGGCGTAACACTTTCTCGACACCACGGGGGTGCAGAGGGGGTGGGGGCGCTATCCGTCGCACGCTCGCAACGCGTGGCACGCGTGGCACTTTACCGACACCGCGGGGGGGGACGCAGGAGGTGGGGGCGCTATTCGCCGTACGCTTGCAAAACGTGGCGAACACACACTTTCTCGACGCAGGGGGTGCGTGCAGGGGGTGGGAGCGCCATGCGTCGCACGCGTGCAAAGCGTGGCAGGCGTGGCACTTGCTCGACACCAGAAAAGGTGCGCAGGGGTGAGGGCGCTGTGCGTCGCACGCCCGCAGCGCGTGGCAAGCTCAGCTTGTCCTTCGCACCAAAAAGGGTGCGCAGGTGGTGGGTCGCCTCTGTCGAGTATGGGATCGCCTACAAAATTGATGTACCCCGAAATTGATGTTCCAGTCGAATGTGCAAACAAATGCGCATAACCCTTGTAGACCTGCGAGCATTATACGTACTCGTCCGTGGATTCGACGACCAGATCAATTTCGGGGTAATTCGATTCTGCAGGTGATCCCCTACTCGACTCTGGTCCCCGGAGACTTTCCGCCAAATGGGCGTCGAACGACCGTTTTTTGGGGCGGGCCCCCGAGAGACGCTCCCTCGAAGGGGCCCCGCTCTGCGTCAAAAGCAACGCTCCGTGGGCCGCCCTGGCCTGAGGAACCGGGACTCCGCGCGCAGCGCGGGTGAACAGAGCCTTCTTGGAGAACAGCATTCTTCTGCGAGGGTGAGGAGGGGCGAGCGCCCCCCTGGGAGGTGCAGGGGGGGTGGAATGGGGAGGGGGAAAAATCTCACAGCCCAGCGCGTAAAAGGAGGGAAGGGGACGGGGAGGGAGGGGCCGAGACAGGGAGAGAGGGGGAAAGAGACTGGGTCGAGTTGGGAGCTTGCCCGGCCGAGCTCTCGTTTGCAGCTGACCTCTGGCCCAAAAAGGCCGAAGAGACACCCTCAAGTCTGCATGTTGCTTGGACCCTTTCCCAAGACCGAGGTCCCCAGGCACCCGCCGTCTTCTGGGCCTGCCTGCTCTGTATTTGCAATTTGGGCCTCGCCATTGATCGGACGTCCATTCCGTGTGTTTTTTCCCCAACCATCCTGTGGTGTTGGGTCCTCGTTTTGAAAAGACGTCGCCCCGCGTTCGTTATCCTCCTCCTCTCGTTTCCTCCTCCCCCTCCTCCCCCCTCCTCCCTGCGTCTCACCCACCCAATACAGCTCTTCGTGGCCCCATAGGAGCTCCACCGAAGGCCCCAGTGGCTGCGTTCGCATGGTGGCTTCGGGCCATTTCGGCACACCCCTCACGAGCATCGTGGCCCCATAGGGAGCTCCACCGAAGGCTCCAGTGGCAGCGTTCGCATGGTGGCCTCGGGCCATTTCGGCGCACCCCTCACGAGGACCGTGGCCCCAAACGAAGCTCCACCGAAGGCCCCAGTGGCTGCGTTCGCATGGCGGCCTCGGGCCATGTCGGCACACCCCTCACGAGCATCGTGGCCCCATAGGGAGCTCCACCGAAGACTCCAGTGGCTGCGTTCGCACGGCGGCCTCGGGCCATTTCGGCACACCTCCCACGAGGATCGTGACCCCATAGGGAGCTCCACCGAAGGCTCCAGAGGTTGCTTTCGCACGGCGGCCTCGGGCCATTTCGGCACACCCAGTACATTGCTTCGTGGCCCCATAGGGAGCTCCACCAAAGGCTCCAGTGGCTGCTTTCGCGTGGCGGCCTCGGGCCATTTCGGCACACCCCTCACGAGGATTGTGGCCCCATCGGGAGCTTCACCGAAGGCCCACGTGGCAGCGTTCGCATGGCGGCCTCGAACCATTTCGGCACACCCCTCACAAGGATCGTGGCCTCCACCGAAGGCGCCAGTAGCAGGGTTCGCACGGCGGCCCTCGCGAAGATCGTGGCCCCATACGGAGCTCCACCGAAAGCGCCACTGGCAGCGTTCGCGTGGCGGTTCGGGCCATTTCGGCACGCCCCTCATGAGGATCGTGGCCCCACAGGAGCTCCACCAAAGGCCCCAGTGGCAGCGTTCGCATGGCGGCCTCGGGCCATTTCGGCACACCCCTCACGAGGATCGTGGCCCCATGGGGAGCTCCACCGAAGGCCCCAGTGGCAGCGTTCGCATGGTGGCCTCGGGCCATTTCGGCACACCCCTCACGAGGATCGTGGCCCCATAGGAGCCCCACCGAAAGCCCCAGTGGCAGCCTCCCTCTCCTGCTTCTGCTCCTCGGTCAGGGGGGCGCCGTGCTCGTCGTCGTCGGCGCCCGCGGAGACGGCCACGAACGTGTCCCTAAGCATGTCGGGCTCCGGCGGGAAGTTGTGGCCACATCGGGAGCGCGGGCGAAGATGTTATTCACAACCGCGGTAGTCACAACTGTGTATGGTTGGGTCTTTCGCCAGGCTAATTTCGGTTTCGTGCGTGGCTTTTTCGTCAAATGATCAAGGATACTCCTCGATGGTCCTCGCCGAAGGAAAAATGCACACGTCCGAGCGATGCCAAGGGGCTGGGGTCGCCGTGGCACTGTAACTTGTGGCCGTGGGGGTCATGGCCTCCCTCGACGCGGGCCTCCCGAGATCCGTCTTCCAGGGCTTCTGTGGCACCGTGGCATCGGGCCACGGGGGCTCCAGCCTCTTCTCTTCCGCAGACGACCCGCAAGGTCATTAGCGCCAGGCTGTCGCCTGCCAGGGCACCCGCGAGTGCCCAGCCCCCGCTCGCTGTGTGAGTGCCGCGGGGCATGGCCAAGGTCAAACAAAACATACCTGCGACGTGACATTTCTATCATAATGTCCGCGCCCCAGCCCTGCCAAATGGCACACAATGAAGAACGAGTCGTTCTAGCAGCAGGAGTGGACATAAGCAGTAGTCGTAGTAGTGGTACTAGTGGTACTAGTGGAAGTAGTAGTAGTAGTAGTAGTAGTCGTCGTCGTCGTCGTCGTCGTCGTCGTCGTCGTCGTCGTCGTCGTCGTCGTCGTCGTAGTAGTAGTAGTAGTAGTAGTAGTAGTAGTAGTA